AGTTTACTCAAATCTCTATTCCTTGGATCGAGATAGTTTCCTTTCTGTTCTGGACAACTATCCCTTGATGAGACGAACTATGGAGTCAGTTGCAGCCGAACGTTTAAGCAAAATCGGTCAAAATCCAGCAATCGTTAGTACACGTGCTGATCTGAAAGCTGATTTGAGTTTGGTCAAGGAAATTGTCAGTTCAGTGGTTGAGTCTGAAGGCGAAGAATCAGATGATGACAGTAAAGGTACTGATGATGGCAGAAAGGAAAAGGAGGAGAGGGCTATGAACCGAATTCGGAGAGTGATTCATTTGGCAAAATCCAGAAAGAAACACTTAACCAATGAGGACGCGGAAGAGGCCGCAGAGGCCATTAAAAGACATGACATTTCGAATGCACCCGGATTTCTTCCAGTTCCTAAACCTGATTCGGGCAGAAAAAGATCCCATAATCGTGTATTTGGACTCACTTCCGGCGTCTCAAAGTTGTTTAAACGTGGAGGAGTATTTGGCGAGCATACGGACAATGAAAGTGAAGCCTACCTGTCTTGGAATAGAGCGCGTCAACAAAGATACACCAAATTTCGCGCCTCTTTTCAACCAACAATGGAAACGACTCTTCTCAATGTACATGGTAAAAAACATTCCTTGATCAACGTTCCCTCGGGTTCGGATGATACTCAGAGTTTAAAAGGCACAGAGGTAGAGTCATCGGTTCCTCTAATCACTGACCCAAATCCAGATAGTTCGGGCATGTCTCGATCTGAATTGCGAAAAGAAACACCTTGTCGGAGATCATCATCCTCAGAGGTCACTCCTTCCAAAAACCCCGACGATATGAAATTGGAATAAAGTGTCACAAATTTGTCGTATTCATGGTATTCCCGTAGTTTTGACATATTGAAATTGGAAGACGATGAAATCAAAATGTTATGCTAAGGTCATGCACGAACGTTTTCATTTGTTGGCCAAACACAATTTTTTTGCAAAACGTATCATTTTACCCCACACCTCCCCGAATATTTATAATTTGCATTTGTGTATAAAATAAGATTTCAGCAAACATAAGCTCTCCGATGCATAGTATTCTTTTTATTAAGAAATAAATCTCGTGACAATAACTCTCAAAAAGTTAAGACCAATCTTGACATGTACTACTTCGATATTGCACTTAATAATAGTATCTGCTAAAGAAAAGGGCTAAAGTAAAAATGAAAGAAAATCATCTTACTTCGATATTTTATTAGTAAATGTTCCACAAAGCAGTGTAATTGAACTTTAGAACTCAAGAAGGACCAGTTGTGACTCGGTGCCCCTTTGACATCCATGCATGCATTCTCATTCTAAATGGGACATTCTTGACATGAAACAATGGCATTCAACATCCTATTTATTTACCAATAGGCATTATTTTAATCTTTTGACTCTTCTCAAACTCATAAAATGGAAATAAGGTTCGGAATGAGATCTGTGAGTTTAGATAAATCCTGCGAGAAGCATAGTCTGAGCTAGACTTATAACCACTCTGCCTTAAGATAAAAGTCAGTTGATGCTTCAATTGGATGATGCATAAGAACTGTATCCATGCCCAAGATCAAGATCTGTCCGGAAAAGAATTGGCTAGGGTGATACTACCAGACTAGTCGTGCCGTACCACTAACAATTCCTCCAAAGCTATGAGTACAATCATATGGTGAGTTCTAAATACGCGGACGGGGTGGGGTAATGTGCTGGTTGTTTTGATGGCCGAGGTGCTAGTAGTAAGCAATTGTCTGAATAACTATTTTCAAAAAAATGCGGAATGTTCACCATTCCTGGCTTCCGCTGCAAAGAAAGACCAGTCGGACCTTTTATGCTGCTTTTATTAGTTTATTTTTGCCAACGTGTGGGTAAGGGGGGGGCATTTAAAAGTCAGAAGGTATATCTGTGCTGAGAACAGATTACCGGAATAAAATATGTCAACTCTAGCTTTGCTCATTCTGCTTGAATTATTTTTCCGCCAACTTGGTTTAGGCTACTTCTTTGCTCATCTTATCTTTTAAACAGAAAATCGTTTGAAAGTTTGAATTAATCTCCTGCAATTATTGGAGCAGGCATTTCTGGTCATACCATTGTCAGCCTAATGTTGTAGTCGGAATTAGGAAGCATGAACTCTCCATTCTCCAGAATAAGAGAGTTATACTAGCTCTGATTTCAGCACCATTTATACACTTGAATTGGAAGTTTTGGGATTTTTCAGGTCACTTTCTTGGGGTGGAGGAATAGATCAATATGTCTGAATGGGTATTTTGTCACTAGCAATTGGAACAGAGCTTCCCTCTCAATTGAAACTTTTCTTACGCACACACAGTGAATCACATGTCTGGTCTTTCACATATATCCTGACCCTTTATGTGATTTGTAAATACGAGCAATTTTAAGCAGTTCCATAACTTTCGGATGATATCTTGAAACTAGTTGACTTCACGAAATAGAGAAAAGGATATGTTCAATTTGACTTTCATTTTTAGGGATTTAGAAATATACTGCTTTGTTTCCTTTATTAAAACTCCCACCTAAGAAATGTCAAATGAATCTTTACTTCAAAAAGTGAGCTTGATATCTTCTTTACTTTCGCTGGTAGTCAACCTATTTGCTTGAATTTATCTCAAATAGTGGGCGTTTTGATTGACATCATTAGCCCTTTAGTTGACTTCGGGCTTCAAGGCGAGGAGGAGGAACATCAAAGTGATAAAAAGTCGAGAGGAGGGGGGGGGGGTAAATAATGATGATTCAAAGATGTAAAAGAGATAGACAGACAGACACAAAGGCAGAGAAAAGGTAAGATGATTACTGTGTAAGGGGTTGAATTTGACATACAGTCGGGTAATGATAGTTTGAAGTCAGAAGTCAACTGCCGATTAATAGACTTTGGCAGTTTGAAGTACCAGTCAATAGACTTTTTTCCGCATAAGTATACGTTGCCCAGGGTGCACCACATGGAGGTTGTAAGTACACGTTGCCCAGGGTGCACCACGTGGAGGTATGCCGTTTGAGTATACGTTGCCCATTGGTTTATAGACTTGTTTGCCGTATGAGTATACGTTGCCCGTCAATGGGGTGATGGTAGTTTGAAGTGAGAAGTCAACTGCCACAATGGGGTCATGGTAGTTTGAAGTTAGAAGTCAACTGCCTTTAATAGACTTTTTTGCCGTATGAGTATACGTTGCCCAGCGGTTTATAGACTTTTTGCCGTATGAGGTCTGTTGCCCAAATATGACATACAGTGGGGTCATGGTAGTTTGAAGTCAGAGGTCAACTGCCGGTTTATAGACTTTTTGCCGTGTTAGGGTTAGATCAACTGCCGGTTTATAGACTTTTTTGCCGTATGCGCATACACAATGACATACAGTGGGGTGATGGTAGTTTGAAGTGAGAAGTTGTGACATATAGTGGGGTGAGGGTAGTTTGAAGTCAGAAGTCCACTGCCGGTTTATAGACTTTTTGCCGTATGAGTATACTTTGTAACATACAGTGGGGTCATGGTAGTTTGAAGTCAGAAGTCAAGGCATACAGTGGGGTCATGGTAGTTTGAAGTCAGTGGTCAACTATACAGTGGGGTGATGGTAGTTTGAAGTGAGAAGTCAACTACCAGTCAATAGACTTTTTTCCGCATAAGTATACGTTGCCCAGGGTGCACCACATGGAGGTTGTAAGTACACGTTGCCCAGGGTGCACCACGTGGAGGTATGCCGTTTGAGTATACGTTGCCCATTGGTTTATAGACTTGTTTGCCGTATGAGTATACGTTGCCCGTCAATGGGGTGATGGTAGTTTGAAGTGAGAAGTCAACTGCCACAATGGGGTCATGGTAGTTTGAAGTTAGAAGTCAACTGCCTTTAATAGACTTTTTTGCCGTATGAGTATACGTTGCCCAGCGGTTTATAGACTTTTTGCCGTATGAGGTCTGTTGCCCAAATATGACATACAGTGGGGTCATGGTAGTTTGAAGTCAGAGGTCAACTGCCGGTTTATAGACTTTTTGCCGTGTTAGGGTTAGATCAACTGCCGGTTTATAGACTTTTTTGCCGTATGCGCATACACAATGACATACAGTGGGGTGATGGTAGTTTGAAGTGAGAAGTTGTGACATATAGTGGGGTGAGGGTAGTTTGAAGTCAGAAGTCCACTGCCGGTTTATAGACTTTTTGCCGTATGAGTATACTTTGTAACATACAGTGGGGTCATGGTAGTTTGAAGTCAGAAGTCAAGATGTCAACTGCCGATTAATAGACTTTTTTGCCGTATGAGAAGTCAGAAGTCAACTGCCGATTAATAGACTTTTTTGCCGCATGAGTACACGTTGTCCAGGGTGTACCACGTGGAGGTATGTCTATCGCACACACCATCTGCTTGAATTATAATGTGGAGCAAAAGACACACAATGAGTACACAAGTGTGGGGCATTCCATACTGCAAACTATGTTTTTTCTACTAATAAAGTATTCAACTGGCAGGTGAAATCGAGTCTATATACGATTCATGCCGTATATTCAGTGGGGCCGGGTCACAAAATGATTTGAATAGCTCGAATTAAAAACTAGAATTTAATTAACTTCTTTACCTATGTATCTACCTCTCTCCATGGAGTTTTATTAATTCAATAGCTATAACAATATAGTAAAAATGTGCAGAGAGGGAGAGAGAAAGCGACCAAACCAATAATCGAATTTCGTTAGTCCCATGCCTTTCGCTTTTGTGTTACATTCGGTGTTCAGCTCATTCAGCAGACGTTTGCTACCTTAATTGAGAGAGAGAGAAGAGTTGAATTTGACCTAACTGCTATCTAAGCTAACTGAGACGAACATTTAAAAATTCTCCCTTTTCCACGAGAAATGAATAATTCTATTGATAAATCACCAGTCCTATTAAGTGCGTTTAAAATTGAATGATTGATCAAACGTAAACAGAGATTGAATTAGAAAAAGAATTGGCTAATAAGATGGTTTAGCCTCATTTTTGATGCAGTGGAAATATGGAGTGCCTATATGTGCTGCAGTACTTTGACTTTAAAGACAATTCATTTCAATGAAAGTAAGGTAGACAAATAGGTAGATTATATTACAAAATAGAAACATCAGGAAGGTTAATAAACTATAAATATTAATTACAATGATATGTAATAAGAAAAAAACATTAGAGCAAACAAGTTAATGCCTTTTGACCTTATAAAGGCAGATCTAACTTCAAGGTAAATGGATCGAGAAATAACACAGATCTCAATTCACCTTGAAATAATGTAGGAAGTTTTCGCTCATTTTCCCAAATGCTCCAACTCGATTTTTTTAAGAAAAAAGATGATTATTGGCCAATTTACTTCCATATCGAACAGTTACCTAGTGAATTAAGGACGCTCTTTTTCTGTCTATCTACAACACTATTTCATTGGATAAATCCCCTAAATTATATTCCAAAGTAACTAACTTCTTCAAATTTACTTATATGAGCAATTCGGAGTTGCATTAATCGAACACTGTTGGAAGAGAGAATTTTTGTAAACCCCTGAAAACAAAAGACCATTCAACAACAGCAACAACAGCGTAAGTTGTTACTGCTACTAATTTTAAGACAATTACTCTCACTCCCCTCCCCACCCCATTTTCTTAGCCTTGCAAACTTTGTACATCTCGTGAGTACAGGAAGCAAAGAAGAGTGGGAACGAATTCAAGGCGCCGATGAATCCTACTACATTCTTGATGAGCAGTTGGCGAATGATAGTATAGGTTTGGGTGGTATTTATTATAAATTTATCTTGGTTTACATCGATGATAATAGCGTTCCTTACTCACCCCATGGCTAATAAAATAAAAATG